GTGGCTTTCAGAGGAGAAAATCAGACTTAGTGAATAATTGGAAAGCAGGAATAACTGAAGAAACCTCACATAACTAAAGAGCACCGTATGAGTAAATAGCTAGAAATGTTCGTCATAATGCTGTTTTCTAGCTCATTTGATAGGGTGTGTGTGTGTGTGTGTGTGTGTATGTGTGTGTGTATGTGCGTGTAAGTAAACCATCTCATGTGCTAGTAATGTACCTTCATGCTAGGGTTAGAAAGAACAAAAAACAGTCTTCCTTTACAGACTAGAATAAATGAATAAATAACCTATTTTTTTGATGGAGAAATACAGTCTGTTATAAAGAAACATGACAGAATAGTTTGGATTTAGTTGACTAAGTAAAGCTTTCTAAAGGAAATAACATTGAAACCAAACCCTGAATAACTTGAAGGATTAAGTGGAATTAAACAACTTTAATTAAAAAAAAAATAGAGAAAAGGCCAATAGTGCTGTACTTACATTGAAATATTTAAACATATTTGATTTTCCATTATGATTTGCCTCTGAATAAACATCTATTTGAGACATATTAAATTATTTTAATGACTTTAATGACTTTCATTTCAGCATGATGATTCTACTTCATGTTAGACTCATATCTTAAAGGATAATGTTATAAGGGATTTATTTAAATAGATTTGAATTGAAAGAAGTCCTTTTGATTTTGATAGAGAAGATGAAGCTAGTGAAATTGTTAATAGTTTTTTTTATGAATGCCATTTTGCACAAACTAACACAATATTAACATCTGTTACCTATTCTCTTGTCAGAAGGGCAAAATTTCATCATTGTCAAGAATAGTTGAGTAAAAAGAGAAAGTAAACACATTGGTAGAGAAAGCAAACACATGCTCTTAATTACCTGAAATGCATATGAATGCCTTTCCTTATCTTTAAATCTAATTTAACAGCTATTCTAAAATTGGTTATTACCTACATTTAACTATAGCATTAAAATCCAAATGAGAGTGTGGTAGGTGATCTTTACCATTCACCGTCTTCATTATCACTACAGCAGCTACAAGAACTCAAGTTCTTTGTGCCATCTTGGAGATACAGCCTCTAAACCTCTGCAGGCCACTGTGAATTGGTTATATCCTAGGGTTTCTTTTGGAGTCTGTCTAGCACCTCAAAAGACACGTATTGGACACCGCATCTTTCTTAACTGTCTAGACTTAGGCATTCCTACCTGGAAATTTGTATTTTTCTTACAAAAATAAAAGAAGGGTGTGGTAACTAGCCACTGAGGATCTACACTGATGGTGAAGGGTTGAAGGATGTGGCTGAAAAATCACACAAGTCTAAGTGTTAGATGACTTTTCAGTATAGCTCTATAAAATGGGTTGAAACAAACTACACAGTATCAGAATGTGCTGTTTCATTCCTTCTTACTCTTAAAGGAACAGATCTTGAGTGTGTATGCTTTTCTTCTGAAAATAAATGTATTCTCAAAGAATATACTTTTTATAGGCTTTAGCATATGTACAATAGATAATAAAAAGTTTATAGAAAGAAGTTAAATTCTTGTGTGTGTGTGTGTGTGTGTGTGTGTGTGTGTGTGTGTGTGTGTGTGTGTGTGTGTGTGTGTGTGTGTGTGCTAGTCCTGGGACATGAACTCAGGGCCTAGGCACTGACCCTGTACTTTTTTGCTCAAGGCTAGTGTTCTTACACTTGAGACACAGCTTTACTTCAAGCTTTTTGGTTGTTAATTCTTCAGAGTCTCACAGACTTTCCTGCCAGGGCTGGCTTCAAACCACAATCTTCAGATCTCTGCCTCCTGAGCAGCCAGAATTATAGGCATGGTCCATGAGTGTCCAGCAAAGGTGTTTAATTTTTAAAATATGTATTCACTCATAATAGAAATGAAAGCCTTTAGAATTCACATCTGAATTAAAGATTATTTTTAAAAATAAAAAGGAGAGGGGCTGGGACGGTGGCACAGTGGTAGAGCGCTTGCCTTGCATGCATGAGGCCCTGGGTTCGATTCCTCAGCACCACATAAGCAAAAAAGAAAAAAGCCGGAAGTGGTGCTGTAACTCAAATGGTAGAGCGCTATCCTTGAGCTGAAGAGCTGAGGGACAGTGCCCAGGCCCAGAGTTCAGGCCCCATGACCGGACCCCAAAAAAGAAATCAAAAGGAGGAAAACATAATACAAGATAATGTATAAAAATTTGCAGGATAGTTAGATAGATAGATAATTATAAACTACTTAGTCACCAGGCAGCAGAGTAATTATTTTAAAGTAATATTTACTTTCAATATTTTCCTCTTGCACTAGAAAATTCCAAACTGTTTACTATGCAATTTATGCTATATATTTTACTTATTTGAGTAACACTTACATAGAATGCCTTAATAATAATTATATTTTAAAATATATAAGTATGCAACCTTCAATTTAGATAAGAAATTGTTCAAGCAAACTCATTAAATATGAAAAGAGACTTAACATTCAGTTTTGGAGTATGTGTGCTGACAAATAGTAGAATTCTGACATGGAAAAGAAACTAATTATCTGAACTGGTCTAATCTTTAGTTTGAATGATCAGGTTTGAGTTAGGTCATGTTTAGTTCTTTAATTTATAGTATGTACCTTTCTTTGCCTTGAGTTTTCTAAGGCCAACATATCAAACCCATTTCAAAACACTATTTTCTCAACCATGTATTATCCCTCTCACCTCTTCTCATTTCTCTCATATTCGTGTACCTTATTACACTCATATCAAAAGAACCATATGAGAAGTGGAGAAAACCAAAGTATATCCTCTAGCCAGGCATTAATAGTTCACCCCTATAGCCCTCATTTTTCAGGAGGCTGAGGTCTGAGGAACTGTATTCAAAGCCATCTGGGACAGAAAAGTTCATAAGATTCTCATCCAATTAACCAGCAAAAAAGCCAGAATTGGAATGGTGGCTCAAATGGTAGAGTGCTGGCCTTGAGCAGAAAAGCCAAGCAAGAGTTCGAGTCCCCAAGTCAAGCTCCCTGCCACCACACACACACAAAAGAAAAATCTACAGCAAAGCAAACAAACCAAAAAATGAAAAACAAAATATATCCTTTAAACCAAGGAAAGGAACTATCTTTAGCATTATAAGGAGAGCCAGCAGCACAGAGTAACACTAAACTTAGATAGATGATAGATAGATAGATAGATAGATAGATAGATAGATAGATAGATAGATAGATAGATAGATAGATAGATAGATAATTAAGCTCAGTTTTTAATCAAGGAACCTAGTTTAGTCAATATCATTTATTTAGTCAATATCATTATTATTATAGGATGCTTATAGTCTTTGTTTTTTGAAATATTAAGGCTGTATGAGAGCTAGCTTTAGAACAAATGAATTGAGAGATTCATTGATTCTCTTGTGTATATGTCAGTACAGGTGTTTGAACTCAAGGGCTTGAACTTGGGGCCTTGAGTTCTCTTGCTTACCTCACTTGCTCACTGCTGATGCTCTACCACTTAAGCCTCTAGTCTGGCTTTTTGCTAGTTATTTCAGCAATGGAAGTCTCATAGACTTTTCTTCCCTATCTAGGTTTGAATCACAATCCTCAGATACCAGCCTCCCTCCATAGTAGCTGGGACTATGGGCATGAACCATATAAGTATGTAATCTTAAATCCACTGGTTTGCCATATTTAAAAAAAAAGAAAGTCTTGTATAATGTATTTCTTACTTTGCTTGTTAAACAATCATAGTACCAGCCATGATTGATCCCCAAAGCTTCTATTCATACCTGGTGACATTCCTGGGTTATCCAGGATGTCTGAGCAGGTTTTGCTAACTCCCGGAAGTAAAGTGATCAGAGGTTCCAACTAGTGTGGTGAAAGAAACATGAGCAGCAGGTAGCTTCTATATTAATACTGTCTTGTGGTATAACATATTATAAAAGGTAGCTCCTATGCATACTATCACAGTTAAATAACTTGGCTATTTCATTCAAGTTGATTTTTAAAGAAATGATGATGTTAAAGGTTGGGAACATGATTCCTAAGATAGTATTTTAAATTTTACAAGCACAAAGGCTTTCATAAGGTCACAGATGCCACAAGAAGCAAGTTCCAGATACTGAAAAAAGATGATTAAAAAATAAATTAGCCCATGAGAGCCTTTAGGGGGGTTACATATAAAATCCCCCCTTCCTACTTCCAAATTATGAGTTTCCTTGAGCTCTGCAGTATTGTTCATTTGATCAGCAACAGTTTCAGAGCATGAAGCTAAAATGAGGCACAGCAGATAAACAGAAATGATTATCTAGACATATGTTGGTAGCACAGTTTCTTTGGGAAACACCTCTTCCCCCACTTTTTTTTTTTTTTTTTGTTTTTATATGTGTTCCAGGGTTGACCTTCTTCTGGCCTCAGAATGATCTGGCTTATTTTCTTCTGTAGCCAGGTTCTGAAATATCAAACACAGCTGTAGGCTAAGGAAGAGATTGATCAAAAAGCCCACCCAGAGGTACCACAATAAATGGAAATGAAACGAGCATACATAGAATAAAGCAAGGTCTGTCTTTGTATCCTGACTGACACATGCCATTTGTATGGGAAGGTCAGAAACAAAATCATTGAAACAACGCAAGAAAAAAAAATGAGGAAAGGACATTCTGTAGAGCCAAATGAAGAAGTCAAGCATCATAAATTTCTCAGTGGAAGGCAAGAGACTGTAGTACTCTGCTAAAGAATGTGGTAGCGATTTTTTTTTAACTTGCAAAGGGGACCATGCACCTGTTGATGCATTTTCCAGACTCTGGAATGATAACAATTTATGAGGCTATTAATACTAAGCCCAAGATTTATCAGATGTGCTGTTTGTCTTGTGGCCAATATAACCTCATAAAATTTGGGTTGCATTGGGTTAAAATGAAGCGTTCTGCCATTGGAGTTATTCAGAGCATTTAAATCGGCTAATCCTACAAGACCCGGTGCATTTCGCCTGCCTATTAGAGGGAGTCTTTGGGGATTCCTACCAGTTGCTGAGCCAGGCTGGAGGGGGTGGTCCACTGCTGGGAGAGGTAACATGGAGGCAGCAGGGGAAGACTGAGTCCTGGAGAGGAGCCGATGCTTCTCTAATCCATCCATGCCAACCACAGCCAGCTGAGCCGGGCGCCCTGAGAGCGCACGTGTGTGCCGGGCCTCCGGGAAGGGCTGCTGCCAAAGAAAAGAACACAGTAGGAAGAAACGTGAGCCCAGCATTGAGGGAGACACAGAGCGACACGTCAACAAATTAAGTTCATCAGGTCAGTGACATAATAAACGGTGTGAAGGAAAAAAGAAGAGGGAAAAAAAATAGAGAAGGGGAGAGAAAAAACAAGATCCAGTCAATAAATTCATTCAACAGATGTGTTCACACTGACAGCCAGGGCCTAGCTGCCTGGCTATGGAGGAGGTGATGCCGGATGGCTGTCAGTTTGAACTGATGGAAAGAAACAGACCTTTAACCTCTGGAGTAACATCCGCTTGCTCTTCCTACCTGGATAGAAGGGCTTGCATACAAGCCCCAAGAATGGATGCAGAATGGTGCATAAAAACAGTCTCATTGTTTTCCAACTGCCTAAGAAGCTCACTACTGGAAATTCTATCCCAGGTTTCTATCAGGAATATTGTTAACGATTATTTCAGCATGCCTCAAAAGATTCCCAGTGAAATGGCTGTGTGTTGATACCTTTCAGGTTTTGTAGAACAATGTGGTACAGAGCAATGAAATTCCATGGTGTACACAGTATATGGAAATTATTGGTTGCCTTTATGGAATATTAGATTGATTTTCAAAGATTTAGCAAGATTTTATCTTCATATCTTTCTTTTTTTCTCTCTCTCCCTTCATTCTTCTTTTCTTCCTTCCTTCCATCCTTCCTCCCTTTCTCCTTTCTTCCTTTCCTCCTTGCCTTCCTTCTCCTTGTGTTGATTCTGGGGTTTGAACTATCCATGAGCCTCTTTTCACAAGGCTCTACCACTTGAGCCACAGCTCCACATCTGGCTTTTTTTTTGGTAGTTTATTGTTGATAAAAATCTCACAGACTTAACTGCTCGGGCTGCCTTTGAACTGCAATCCTCAGATCTCAGCCTCCTAAATAGCTAAGATTACAGGCTGAGCTACCAGTAACCAGAATATCATTTATATTTTTCAAGCTGTCCAATCAAAAAACAAAAATTCAGAAACTTGTGGAAGATTTAGTTACATCCTTTCTTCTGTCTCCAAGAGAGATAATCTCTCAAACATAGATCAGCAACTAATTAATTTTTAAATTACACAGTGAATATTTCAACTCTTATCAACAGCAAGGAATATATAATCTTTATGCTATTTTTGGTACCAGTCCTGGGGCTTCAATTCACAGCCTTGGCACTGTCCTTAAGCTTCTTTTTGCTGAAGGCTAGCACTCTACCATTTTGGCTGCAGCTCCACTTCTGGCTATTTGGTAATTTATTAGCGATTACAGAGTCTTGTGGATTTTTTGCAAGGGCTGGCTTTGAACTACAATCCTTAGATCTCTGCTTCCTGAGTAGCTAGGATTACAGGCGTGAGCCACCCACCACCTAGGATTACAGGCATGAGTTTGTAGCATTCTGCTACATTTTACATATCATTCCTAAAGAGCAAGGAAGACAGCTGAAACATGGTACACAATGTAATAATCACTGGCCATAGATAAGGAAAATAATGCTCCAAGATTAATGAAGGTTTTAAAGTCCAAGTTTATTTCCTGTGATATAAAAAAATTCCATGTTATTGCTTTGATCCACCTGGACAGAATTCACACACTTTTAGCACTGGATACACATCTCACCTCTCTTTAGCAAGGTTTCCTTTAACCAACCAATTAGGAGAGATGTCTCCTTAATACCATAGAAGTCATTATAAAACAAGCTTCCCCTGGATTTCCAGAACAAGACATGACAGATCCTAACTGTATAAAGTTAATGCATAAACTCACTAATCTACATGCAAACACTGTACTCCATACATAGTATGTAGTTTTATGCAATCATGTGTTTCGCTGAAAATAATATGAACTATTGCTACATATAAATACATGAGCTACAATACAAATACGTCAAATACAAAAGCTAAATATTTAGTTAAACCCTTTAAATATCTATGCAATATAGTCAGGGATTTCCTAATTCAGAAGACATTAAAAACCACTTAAAATAAACCAAGTACCAATGGCTCATACTTGTTATCCTGTTTACTCAGGAGGCTGAGATCTGAGGATTGGGATTTGAAGTCAGTCTGGGGAGGGAAATCTGTGAGACTTTTATCTCTAATTAAGCATCAAAAAGCCAGAAGTGGAGCGGTGGTTCTTGTGGTAGAGCAAAGTAGCTTCAAGCCTCAAGACTAGCATACATAAACACGCAAACATATACACAGAGAAACTAAAAACAAGTTATAATTCATGTATGTATTGTCATTTAGTCCTGTAGAATATTCAAATTATTATTTATTTGGAAGGTATTTTGTCATATACTCAGGTTTGGGGCATTTGTTCTGCTGAATGGGATGGCTTAGCTGGCAATATCATTGTAGTTATGATACATTTAACACCATTACAAGAGCTGCTCTTATATTCTTGGGTGCCCTCATGTTTTAAGTCCTGAGAGAATAACAATATGGTTAACACAATCCCAACTATCTTGGAGTTTATAAGTGTAGAAATAAAAATGCATAATTATGTCAGGAAAAGGAACATTTTCTGCATATGATATAAAGCAGATAGATAAATGTTTATTAGGATGTTTGTATTATCCATCTCAGTCTCCTTTCAGTAATATATTTAGTTGCCATATAAATGAATGAATTGATCACTGTCTATCTGTACCAGCCAGTCCCAAAGAATTTTATTCCTAAAGCCTGCTATAAGCCAAAGGTTGACACCAAAAGCTCAGAAGGTCCAAGTTTGAAGAATCTTCTCAGCAGTCATTTGAGTTCTACTGGATCAGAGGACAACTTACATTTACAGCCATTATCTTTATGATTTTTCCTGGATTCAAAATATTTAGTATTGCCAGGTGCCGGTGGCTCATGCTTATAATCCTAGCTACTCAGGAAGTTGAGATCTGAGGATTGCAATTTGAAGTCTGTCCAGGCAGATAAGTCCTAATAAGACTCTTATCTCCAATTAACTACTCAAAAACCAGAAGTGGCACTCTAGCCCAAAGTGGTAGAGTGCTAGCCTTGAGCAAAGGAGTTCTGGAACAGTGCCCAGGCCCTGTGTTCAAGACAAAAAACAACAACCCTTAACATTGTACATAAAGTCCCAAAGATAATTCAGATGTTCACAAGTCATTGGCAATATTACCTCTCTGGTTCTCGTTATCTCTTTCTCCAAAAAACAATATAATAAATTATATTTTATATCTACATTGGATTCATTATTGTATATTCATTATCATTATTATATTTTATTTCTTTTCTTTTCTTTACTTGTTCCAAGACCTGGACTTGTGGTCACTTTCTCAATTGCTAACACTCTACCAACCGAGTCACACCTCCAACCCTATATTTTATGTCTTTTTTCTAAGAAATTAAATTTCAAAATGTTTGGTGGCCCCTTAAAGTATTTGGGCATTGTGTTTGTTACATCTTCTTGCTATCTTGATGTTCATCATCCATGCTTCTACCAGCCCACCCTCCTACGCTTCTTGATAAATGCTTGCAAAGCTGCCCATTTATCACTTATACACACCTACCACAATCAGCTCTAAATTTTAAAGCATTTTTTGAGTACCACATTAAGTGACATTTCTGTATGCATCACATTCCCATCATACTTTGGCTTTCCTTCTCATTTTTTCCTATTACAGGCTATCATATTTTCAAATTATTGCAAGCAGTCACTATTTCTGGAGTTTATATTCATCTAGTACTTTGATCACTGAAATTCCTTGTTCTTATCATCTTGTGAGGCAGTAAATACAGTTTATAAGAGTCATTGAATTATAAATATATGGAGTATTATATAGGAAAATATCAAGGTGCTTTGAAGCATATAAAGCATATAAAGTTGATGAAGAAGGTCCTGGGAACTTTTATCTGGAAAAGTAATATTCAATTTGAAATGTGAAGAATAAATTGCAATTAACCAGGTAAAGAAGAGAGCAAGTCCTAGATATGTGTGTATAGATGTGTGTATGTGCATGTAATGTGAATGCACATGTGGATGCATATGAAATGTGTGTGAAGGTGTCAGTCTTTTGAAGCAAGACTGTAAATCATCTGTTAACATATATTCTGCTATATTTTACATATTTTCTTATGCTTTCTAGCAGATAAATAAGAATTTGTGCATTAAGTATATGCAATATACATTATAAAATGGCTTGTAAAATGATGGAGTAATATTTTGTAACTCACAAACATGATAAAAAATTTTGTACCTTAATACAAAAATTTTCTAACCTAGCAAACACATGTTACTAATCCAATGTTGCAGTTAGAAGTATAGCAATGTATAGAAGAGACAAATAACTATTTGTTTGACAGTACCTATTTATGAATTGCACATAAGTTTTATCTGATATCTGTTTCAAGTGGAAGACAAAAGACTATGTGTTGGGTTTAATTAAGTATGGCTCCTGATCTTTTTGATTCACACCCCAAATTTAAGTACATTCTCTCTCATAACTCGGTTTCATGAAGCTATGAACTTTGTCTATTACATATTCTCATGCGTGTTTTATACATAAGTAGCATTAATATATGTTCAATCAATCCACAAATAGGAATATACAACCAAACAAGAAAATATATTATAAGCAATCATAAAATTAAATAGTCAAGGGAGAGAAAATAAAGTGCAATCTATAATTACAACTACCAAAAGACAATACCCTGAAATTAATTAGTGTTTGAGCCAAGAAAGCCTGAAGGAAAATGGTTTGAGAACTATTTGTTTTTTGTACTTTTATGTGGTTTCCAAGATTTCTGCCTATCATATCTGTTAAACTTTTAATTGAAAAAAATGGTAAAGTTTATCTAAGCTACATAGTCAAATCTCTCAAATGCTTAATTAAGATAGTTTCATAATCACCAAACTTACAAGCAGATAGACATTAAATATGTCCAAAAACAGGACTATAACAGGAAGAAAAAATTGTTCAGTATCGAAAATAGTTTTCTAGAACTATGCATTTTTACAAATGCAGTA